GCTCTCTCTCTTTCTTTCTCCCCCTCTCTGCTCAAATTCGATTTGCCTTGCTTTGCCTTGCCTAGATTTGGGCCGTTATTGGACGTTTGCACGAGGTTGGTTCTATATTAATTAAAGAATTTAATACTTAATTTAACTTTCAAGATTAATTAAAGATTTATTATAGACTTTATTCGTTTACGACTGCATGTGGTCGCGCGATATAAGCTAGAAATAGATATTATTTAGAATCATCTCCATACATGAATGTATTTCATCCGCTGCGGGTTGGATGAAAGGATGCATGTGGACACAGATTCGGAATATTTGTAGCATATAAATATATATAAATAAATATATATATATATATATATATATATATATGTATATATATATAGTCAGTTTATTCACAACAGAAGACACAGTGTGTACACATCTATCTTTGACTAATTTTGCTGACAAGATGCCCCTGCATGGTGTCTATCTCTCAGATAGGAATCCCAGCTGACGCTTTCTCCTGTTCCAATCCTCTTAGTTGTGCACTTCTTGTCAAATTGACTTCTTGTCTTTTTGTCTCTCTCCTCCCCTCTCTCTCTCTCTTTCTCTACACAAACCAGAGATTACTGTTGCGGTTAATTGCAACCCTCTAGGCACAACGTCCCTGAACACCTCTTGCCGTATCAATAACATTTTTTCATTTTTTTCATTTTTAATTACTTCATACTTTAGTTTTATTAAGTTTTAATTAGAAGTTAAATTCATTTTCGATTCAAGTAATTCGCGGTAGTGTTCGTTTTGAACTGATTACATTAGCAGGATGGGTCCAGCAGGAAAAGGCAACGGCTTGTCCTAGAACATATTTTTAGAGAGCTTTTTGGCTTTACCCAAGCACGCGACAATGATGAACTACTTACTACTCACGGCAGTCAAAAACCAGCAAGAAAAACCTAAGCACGTTAAAGTTTTGCCTGCCGATGCTCCAAGCTATATATCCATGACTCCTTCAAGGTCTGAATGTTTTTCCCAGAACGCTAGACATAATTTGTTAACGAGACTAATACGCACACACGTACACTATACGCATGCGCGCGCACGGGGGCAAGCTATATAAGCTGGTCAATTGATGAGCAGACGCCGGGTAAAAAATAGCAATTGTAATTTTATGATCTTGCGTGAGTAGAATGGTGCGTTACGATTCGAATGCGCAAAAAATGCATCCTAAGAAATTACGTACAAACGTCATGTGCTGAGACAGAAATGCCCAGGGCATACACGAACTTCATTCCGACCCAGCCTTTACCCCTCCCATGTATGCAATCTCATCCCATCAAATATACCACGCCATGCACACCGCCTATGCACCAGCCATCTCTACCCCCACCCTGTGCTTCGCTTCCATTCCCATGGACCATAGCTCCGTCTGCACACATACCCATACCCCACCCAACAAAGACCGCGTACTGTGACTCACTCCACCCTCGTAGGTTATCCATATGTACCGTCTCTATGCATCTATTCTCGTTCTTTCCCGGGTTATTTTTCTTATGTGCGAGTAGACGAGAGGCCAGTTTCCAGCTGGCGGCTCCGACCTGGCGCTTCTCTGTTTGCATCGAGGAATGAATAGCCGTGTGGGTACCCGTTGAGCTCTCACAAAGGTACACACAGGTA